GAGAACATGCAAACTCCGCACAGAAAGACCCCAGGTCCGAACCGGGGATCGAACCCAGGACCTTCTTGCTGTGAGGCGTCGGTGCTAACCACTGAGCCATCGTGCCGCCAAAAATCCACCAATTTGATTCATCAGCTCATTTTAGCACCTGCAAAATGAGAAAAATGTTAGTATTGTTTTTTGCCATAACAAACTTATCTTTGGGATAGTTAAAGGTTTATTACACTGTATTTATGTATAAAAAAAACTAATATTATTCTAACCACTGAAAAACCGTTGAACATTCATCAAAAACATTTGATGAAAGTTTTGTAGAAACTTCCAAAGAATATTTAAAAGTTTGTCCAAATATTGTGAGTAATGATAACTTTTTCAAGTGTACAATTGTAACTCAATATAATTCTAATACATAATAATGATTAAATATTTTGAATTTTCTTACGCTACAGATTTTTCATGATTCTGGTGTAATTTGAAACTTTTTTAAAGCTCTTTCAGTTCAAATAATTTGTTTTCGGATCAGATCTTTTGAACATTGTAACTTTAAAGCCATGTAAGAAAAGTGTGGGGTTTTCTTTCTGAGGTTAGAGTCTAAGCACTGACATGATGAGCAGCTTTATTTTACAGGACTATGTTAATGCATGTTGACTCCTGCTGCTGCCGGGACTTAATGCTGAACACGGTTGATGAGGAGCTTCTCACAGCCGGAAAGAAGATCCTCATTCCTGGTCCTCGAGGGCCACTATCCTCCATGTTTAGTGCTTCCTCTGCTCCAAAACACATGATTCAAAATCAAAACATGAAGATATAATTTCAACTACTGAATCAGGTGTGTTGAAGCACGGACAAGTAAAACATGCCAGATACTGATCCTCGAGGACCAGGACCAGAATCTCTGCTCTTGGGTCTGGACCAGGTTCTCTGACCAACTTCCACAGCTCAATTACTATGTCCAATTAGCATAATCATTTGAAACATGCTGATTTAATTTATTTTATGACAGAGTTTTAGATGAAGATTATTTTATTATAATGAATGACAGAGTGTAGACACTTTAGTCAAACCTTGAAAATAATTCAGTCTTGCGCAATACTACAAGAACTCACACTCAGAGTGTTGTGAATGAATCTCAGCTTCTACCACATCAACTTTTAACACAATATTCATTACATGGACTAACTKATGTTAACTAGCTGTGGTGGCCATCAGGATTGACTTCAAAAGTTAATCAGTTGTAGAACTACATTGCTTGATTATTTTCTGGAAGTTTCAATAAAATCCTTTCAGTAGTTGATGAAATATTTTGCTAACAGACACAGAAAACTGACTTCCAGTAGTTAGTCACTAAGTTTAAAACAAATCTTGTGCTCAGAACATGTGTTGTAAATGACTCATATCTTTGTAGATTTAATTTTAGAACAATCTGTACATACAGTGGAATCACATTAAACTGATTTTTCTGTGTTTGTAAGGTCGGTTTGTTGTGGTGAACATCTTGAAGCATGTTGTTCAGGACATATTTTGATAACAGACACACATGAACACTGTGGAAAAAAGCTCCTTTTGGTAGCTATAATATTAGGTTTGAAAAGATATTGATGTCTTACTGTTAATTATCTCGAGTTGTTTCCTTGAGGACAGATTATGTTGAAAACTCGTGCTCTGCCTCAATAAAAAGCTCTGATTCATCTTGTGGGCTTTGTAGCAAATTAAGTCATTTCATGTAGACTGACATGCTGGATTCCCATCAGCTCCCCGTTTTTCTTTCAGTTAGATCAGAACACATTTGGCTTTGATCTGTAAAATCTAACTGGAGGTTTCCTGTGGGATAAAAGCATGGGTAAGACATCTAAATGTCTGTGTTTTTCCATTAAGGTGTGCACTGTGAGGTGGACCTCAACGAGTGTGACAGCGATCCTTGCCAGAACGGAGCGACGTGCGAGGATGCTGCCAACTCTTACAGGTGTCACTGCCCCGTGCCAGAACGAGGTCAGGAACCCTGGGGTGGACGCAACTGTGACATCAGGCTGGCTGGCTGCCGGCAGCACCGGTGCCAGCATGAGGCGAGCTGCGCTCCCATTCTGACCAGTGACGATGAGCACAGCTACCACTGCTTGTGTACACCTGGCTGGACCGGAGAGCGCTGCAACACCTCCACCACTTTTTCCTTCAACATGGAGGGCTATGTACACATGCAGCTGCCCATCATCAAGAACAGGACAAAACGAGAGGTCAGCGGTAAAAGTCACGGACTCCACATGCAGCTTCGTTTCAGGAGTACTTTACCAGACATGGTGCTGTACTACCGGGGCAGCAGGGACAGCTTTGTCTCACTGGAGCTTGTTGACGGCTCCCTCCTGGCCAGGATAAAGTCAGGGAAGATGCTACAGGCGGTTTACCCAGGTCCAGTCACCAATGGAGAGTGGTACCAGGTGACTGTGGCCATGGATGAGAGGCTGGTTCTGACTGTCGAAGGACCTCATTGTGAGGAAGGATGCCAAGTAAGGAACGAAGGTCACAACCATTTGGTTTTTCTTCAGCCCAGCTCCTTTCAGCAGCTTTATATCGGAGGAGCACCTCCGGAATATTCCACCCAATTATCCAGTGGTAAGGGATTTATTGGCTGCATGGAAGATCTGAAAGTCGACCACACACTGCTGCTGCCTCAAGACCTTATCAGAGAGGAGTATAAGGGCTTAGAACTTGGATGTTCCAAAACAGACTGGTGCTCTGATGAGGATTGTTTGGGTCGTGGAAAATGTATGGACATGTGGGTTCGAGCTAGCTGTGACTGTCATCGGCCTTACTACGGAGAAAAATGTGAAAAAGGTAAAGATACAATTAGCTGTTTAAAGTTTTGTTTTATTCTACATGTAAAAATATTTGATTTGTATATAAATTAATTACGGTTGTTCAGTACAATCCAGTAAATACACACAAACTAATTCAGAGTCAGTAATGTTGAATGAATCAAAAAGAAAAAAATAAGTAGGTCGCTTAAGCGATGGCCCTCTTTTGCATGTGACTGACCTGTTTGTCCACCATGTGGAGGCAGTGCTTATAAGGCTGAGTTCACCTGAAACTCACCAGACTGAAGAAGTCTCTTGGAGGAGAGACGAAACATTTCACTAAAGAAGAACCCATCCAGAGGACCTACTTATTTTTTCTTTTTGATTTTTTCTACCTGATTTACTGAGATGCATCAGGACAATGTTGAATGTACTTTTAGAAATGTTGTTCTGTCTAATGGTTATTAATAGTATCTTATCAGCCATGACTTCAGTCATACAGCATCAGTCCACCTGATCAGCACGTCTTGTCCAAAAGTTGAGTCAAGATCCGGCAGAATGACACATTCAACTTTTGTCTCCTGCAAAAGTGTAGAGATTAATTATTAGCTAATCTTTCACACTGTTGTGACATTTTTTTAAAATATGGTAGGTTTTTCTATAGTCCTGAAATATTGGCRAAAATCCAATAATAAGTGGCCCTGTTTTTTTAATCTTCAATGCTTTAGAACTGATGTCACCACCAAAAGGTACTAACTGTTAAAAACTACTTGATAGAATGCCACTTCAAAAATGGCCAGAATATACCTTTAAAATTTATTTACCAATATGTAAGAGTTTAAAAATTAGTTTAGCTCTAAAACCTATGACAGGTACCTTATTGCAGTGGTTCCCAAACTTTTTATATTCTGACCCACAAAATATCCATGGCAAAAACTTGTGACCCCAAATATTACTGKTCTGARTAAACAAACTTCATTATTAAYCCTAAAAACACAGGCTTTTTGACAATCTAAACAGCTTGTACACAAATATAAATATTTATTTATAGTTATTTTGTGTTTTTGTAATAATTATAGGGAAAATATTACATCAGCAATTATTTTATTACCCTTTAAATTGATTTCTGGAGATTATCCAAGGTGCTCCATGACTCATAATTGGGTCCCAAGCCCAACTTTGGGAACCAAAGTGCAGTGGTTCCCAAACTTTTCAGCTTTTGACCCACAAAATAACAGTAGCAGAGACCTGCGCCCCCAGCTATTTTTGGATGATAAACATTTGTATCAGGTCAACTAAACATGGGCACAGTAACAATATTTTTTATACTACATTTATCCATTTTAAATATACTAACCTCACTCCTTTGTAACAACTAAGGCAAAAATGTAATTAAYTCAGAAAATCTTTTCAGGAACCCCACCTTGATGTTTCGGGACCCCACTTTGGGTCCCGACCCCAACTTTGGGAAACACTGCCTTATTGTGTTACACTCTTCAGAAGTTAATATGTTAATAAAACCTGGGTTTCTTTGATGATGTAATGGATTGACAAGCTTTTCATGCTGTTCCATGCTCATTTCCTGCTGGGACAGTCACCAGCCCCTAAAAGATAAATATGAGATAAAAATGCTCCAAATGCACAGTATGTTGTGTGGATGAAATACAAAACAAATTATCCTCCCTGGTAAAAGAGAATAACAATTAACAACTCAAGGGCTGCAACAAAGTTTTTAGAAAATGGGTATGTTTTCAGATTTTCAGATCCAGTGTTTCTGAGCAGAGAACTATGTTGTTGTGTTTTATGTAGCTAGTTTTGGAAAATTCTAGCCTATACTGTATTTGCACACACAGCTTGAAGTGTTTTCAAGGCCATGTACATTATTATATGTCCCACATCCACTCCAACTCTATTAGACATCGATTTTCTGCTCTGTTTTAAGTCTGCCTGTAGTTTAGCAATGACAGCAGAGGAAGTGAGTGAAGCCATTCTGTCCGTGTTGACAAGGCTTCCAAATTAAATTAAATTTGTCTCACAAAGCCTGCAGCACTCAATACAGCTACAGTAACTCGTTTGGCTCAGTACTTCTCTCCTCTCAGTACGGGATGGTTATTTACAGCGCACACAATTTTCTGTTAGCTTCTTAGCTTAGCTTCCTTCACAGTCGAGCTGGTGCTCTACATACATTACGACCAAACATTAGTGATTGGGTAAAATCAGATCCAATTGTTTTAAACTTCAGCAGAGTCCACGYCTCCAGCAAGAAATGGTTTCTCAGTAGCTGAGGGTCCAGACCCTCTGTATGAAGCAAAGTGCAGAACAAGAGGCTGGTTTTTACCAGGCTACCACTGCACCCCTTTTAATCTGTAATTACTTTGGCAGTCTACATATGATTTAATTGGCCAAAATCAGAGATGTGCGCGTCTTTTTTTGCAAGTCCAAGTCTTTGACCAAAAATTCAAGTCAAGTCTCAATTCTCTTAACCTTAACTCCAAAGTCCAAGTTGCATGTATTACTTAACTGGCAGTTTGATCAAAGGTATTCTAACTATACAAGATTATATTCTAAAATACTATATTTTAATCAAATATTAAAACAAAGTATTTTGTTTTAATAATACTATTAAGACATAATACTGTTTTAAAAATACAGATAAAGTTAAGGTTGAAATAACAACAATCAATCATTTAGAGTATTGTTAACTGTATTTTGCACTTGTGCTCTTATAAGAACACACAAAGGCCAAATGTATCTATTGTGAAATACACTAACCAGTTATTACTGTAATTAAATCTTGACACTGACAATGTACAAATCCAAAATCTGCTGATTTTACAATAAAATACCAGAAAAAATATTTTCTAAAGACATAAAAGCATGTCAGTGAAGATGATGAACCAGAATCCAACACAAACAAACAAGTCATCACAAACACAAATTTGGATTTGGACTTCACACTTAGCATTTTGCCAGTCTCTTGTCATGGCACTGAATAGTCTCTGTAAGAAAAGCTTATAATGAATGACAGCACTGCAACACGCCTGCCATGCTGAAGCTCTGTTTATCATGTAAGGGATGCATCATTAACACTGGACGGCGCTGGCCCCTCCCATTCTCAGGTGAGGGGGAGCGGAGCATGGAGTGAGCATTGTGAGCCGGGCAGTGAAAAGACTTGCATTGTTCACGAGTCTCAAACCACGAGTCCAAGTCAAGTCTCAAGTCTCTAATAGTAGGGACTTAAGTGCGACTCAAGTCTAAGTCTGAGTCACGAGTCCCCATCTCTGGCCAAAATACACATTTGATATGAAGATAACAGTCATTGATTTTATTCATTTTTTATCAATGTGGTCTTGGATGGTTTCTGATTGGATGATTTCAAGACAATTTGGAGACTTTTTCCTGAATGTTGTTGTTGCAGCCCAGTGAGAAACTGAGTTTACATTTGAAAGAAGCTGCCATCACCGTTCTGTAGCCACACAGCATCACCAACTCTCTAAATTTCTTGTTCATGTTTACAAGTTTGATGTGTTAAAAAATGTTACTGATAACTTTGTTCTTTCTTTCCCCAAATCAGAATACCAATCATGGACATTTGGCCACGAGAACACCACCRGTTATTCCTCCTTCAACATCTCCAGCAGCCATGGAGAAAACTTTACTCTTTCCTTTTTAATGCGCTCCCTGAAACGTAATGGATTGCTCCTGCAGTTCCGTCGAGAAGGAAAGCCCTACCTGACCGTCTACCTGAAAGAAAGCACTGTTGCCATCTACAGCTTTCACACCACAATCCTTTCAGAAGCCAAGTTAGTCACCGATGGGAATAATCATTTAGTCACCATAAAGGTTAATTATGGACACGTCGTCTTTCCTAAAGCAGGGAACAATCGCGCCTTAGGGAATGTGAGTGTGGAGGCAGGAGATGAAGTGTTCGTAGGAGGACTTCCTGCAGGCAAGCACACGAAYGCCTGGGGTGGAAACTTCAAGGGCTGCCTGCAGGACATCAGGCTGGATGACAAACAAGTCATTTTTGGGAATGTTACAGAAGGCTTGGAGATTTATCTGGGGAACTCAGAAAGTGTGCTGCAAGGATGTCACAGTGACAATACATGCAAGGTAAAAACTGTTTTATATCCTGTGATCTGTTAATCATCTAAACACAACAGGCTGCAAAAACATTCATCCCTCTTAAAAATCTTTGTTTTGTTTCACAACCTGCAATTGAATTATATTTTCATTTTGATAAAAATGGCAATTATACAAAAAAACTTCAAATATTAAGAAAAAATAGTTTCAAATGAAGTCAAACAGGTAAAGTTAATGGATGGATGTTTGATTTGGAAAAAAATGCAAATGTATCCACCCCCTTTGTTTTGAAGTTGCATCTTTAATCTCAAAAGCCACATCATTTGTTAACATTAGATTAGATCAATCTGTTCCCAATGATATTCATCTGTTGGAACAGCCCCCAGAATCAACACCAGTTTAACTCCTGTCAGTGGAAAGAGACAGAATGAAGACCAAGGAACTCTCAACATGAGTCACAGACATAGCTGTAGAGAAATACAGATCAGGGTTTGTTTTTAAATAAAACATCCTAAATCTTGAACATCCAACAGAGCTCCCTGAAATTCACTTTTTGAACATGAAAATATGTCAGTCACCACAGCAAACCTGGCAAGAGGGGCCCATCTACCAAATGTCCCACAGTAAGCAAGAGGGGCATTAATCAGAGAAACATCCATCAAAAAGCAGCTCTTCTTGCAAACATGTGTGGGTTTGTCCAAAAACCACGATAAGCTGCACAGAACTGGGCTTTATGGAAGACTGACAGAGGAAAGACATTGATTAAAAATAAAAAGTCAGTTTAGAATTCCTTCTCCAAACGTGAAAGGTGGTGAATGTGGTCAGATGCTATCAAACTTTAGCTTTAAGACCATTAAGGACAACACCATGTCTGAGGCAAATCTACCACCTCTTATCCTGCATGGTGGTGGCTGCATCATGCTGTGGGGATGTTTTCATCAGCAGGGGCTGTCAGAGTTAAAGGAAAGATGGACGGAACAAATATTAGAAAGGGAGAGGAACATTTTAGAGTTCACAGGAGAGTTTAGACCTGGGTGGAGGTCCACCTTCCAGCAGGACAATGACCCTAACCCCCTGCTGGAAGCAACACTCCACTGGTTTATGAAAAACAGTTACATGTCCTGAAATGATCCAAAGCCCAGAATTCAATCCATTGAGCTAACACCTGATTTGATGATGAACAGGTTTCAACAAGTTAATCATTCAGGTGTGTTGAAGCAGAAAATCACATGAAACCTGCAGAATATCACAGATCTGAAGAGACCTGATGCTGGATCTACTGTAAAACATGACCCAGTATTTTTGGGTATTAAACACATGCACCACTTTTCAGTTTTATATTTTTTTTAGAATTACTTAAAATAATTCCTCATTTATGAGGATTGATTGAAATTATTTTGAATAATGTTTACTTTTTAAAAAAATAAATAAAATAAAATTCTGGATTATTAGGCTGCATATTAGAAAGAATAAGAGAAATGAATATTTTTGCAATCATATGAGGAATAATAATGTTCTGAAGTTTAAACAAAAAGATAGCTGACATTTTTGACTGAAACAATTATACAGTATATTTTATTTCATGCATTCAGACAATTCCTGAAAACATTTTGAAAAGGTAGCTTGCAATCCTATTGCTTAAACCCAATGATTCCCAATCAGGGGTACATGTACCCCTTGGGGTACGGGAGTATATTACAGGGGGTATGTGGAAAAAAATTCCATGTGTGTAAAAAAATAAATAAAAATAGGACTGAGATACAGTATGTAGRGCCCTATTTCTGCAATGTGGAAATAGCAATTGGAATCATGGATTTAACACAAAATGAAATCCAGTATAAAACATGGAATCTCACAGAATTTGCTCATTTAGGTGAGTTTCTGATGTATTTTGGACTTGYCATTACCTGGTTTGTTTATTTAATTACTTATTCACTTTCAAGGCAACATTTTTATCTTTGTTTAATTTGAGTGAAAAAAAAAATAAAATGCTTGAGAATTAAAAGTTCTAGGGCATTAAATAAACAATTTTCATTAAATAATATTTGTGGTACACAAAATGCAATCCAGTATAAAACATGGAATCTCACAGAATTTGCTCATTTAGGTGAGTTTCTGATGTATTTTGGACGCTGCTGTTTTCTGCACCTGCCATTACCTGGTTTATTTATTTAATTACTTATTCACTTTCAAGGCAACATTTTTATGTTAAATTTGAGTTGAAAATTAGAAGAGAATTAAAGTTCTAGGGGATTAAATAAACTATTTTAATTTAATAATCAGTTGTAGTAATACTTATAATAACAAGTGATATTTTTTAAGAATCATCATTATGTTTGACTGAAGGGGTACTATTTAATGGTACTTTTTATTGAATGGTTAGACAATTTGATGAACAGCTACAATTATATCAGAAAGACTGCAATTACTCTTAGAATTATTTGTTTTAACACTTTTAGGACAATCTCTATTGAATAGATTAAAGTATATATATTTTAAAGAACGTCAGTGTGGATCTTACTAAGAACTGCCTCTGCTCAGGAGCACTTAAGTCAACATTTAGGCTGACTTTCTTTGCACCTCAATCACCCCAATGTTTTGTGTGACTACTGGAGCAAAATTKAAAGCAGGAAGATAGACAGATTTAGACCAGTTTTACTAATTATTATTTATCATTTGTGGTATTTCTATACCTAGATATTCAGGGCTGTAGCCTCAGATGTTTTTGTCACAAGAAGCTTTGGTCCAGGTGTCAAAATACAGCTCTACCCCTCTAAAATTACAAAAACTAAACAAGAAATGTTTTGACACTGTGACTATTTTGGGCGAAATATTATAGTTTTTGAACCTTAAAAAAAAAAAAAACAACAGCAAAAATAAATGTTAGCCAGGAACCCCTCAAACATTTCAAAGAATTTTGAACTCGTTTGTGAATGCTGCTCACCCACCTTCCCCCAACAGCTACAGCCCAGTAACATACTGGCTTTAGCTGTAATATTAGTTTTATGACTACTTTACTTGATGTGGTTTTAAATCTGTGTAAACTGTATTTATGTAGCTTCTATCAGTTTGGTTGCATCAGATGAAATATTTTGCAGCATTTTATTTAATCTGTCTCTGTAACTGTGTGCAGGACAACCCCTGTATTAATAATGGAGAATGTCAAGTCACCTGGAATGACTTCAGGTGTTCCTGCCCCATTAATTTCTCTGGCCCACTGTGTGAAACACGCTTGTGGTGTGTCGACAAACCCTGTTTTGATGGAGCAGTCTGCGAGGAACTAAACAATGGCTATGAATGTGAGTTCAGCAACTATTTACATCTTTATCAAGTCAGATTGAAAAAAGCCAGGCCAAAACAARTTTCTTGTTTTTTTCAGATTTAAACCTTTTCTTGATAATATGATATGAATAAGATTAAAGAGAGGCAGAATAGTGATTTACATGCTGTATTCTTTTTCAATAAATACGCTCAAATGTTCCCCTCTCATAGGTTTAACACAAGCCATTTTTCAGGACAACGCTCTTCGATATGTAGCCAACAGCTCCCTGCTGGACCCTGTGACCAACATCACCATGGACATACGAACACGAGATGAGAACGCGGTCTTATTGCGAGCTGAAGGCAAAGCTCAGGTCTTCTGCCTGGGTATACTCAACTCTAGCCTGCTAATCAAGCTGGACAGTGGACCTGGCAAAGAACTGCTGGCCTTTACAAGTGACAGAACCATTGCAGATGGGGCATGGCACCACATCCAGATCAGCATGGCTGACCCTTCGCTGTCAGTRTCATTATGGCAGCTCACAGTAGACGGGCAGAAAGCTGGGAGGAGCTTTGTTGTTGGTGGAAACCTAAACTTCCTTAATGACAGTGAAATCTGGCTGGCAACGAAATACACTGGATGTATCGGGGAGGTGAGAGTGGGAGGAGTCTACCTGCCTCTCAAACAGGTGCCAGCTGCCCCCCAGGCGAGCCAGTTCTCTAGACTCAGTGGACATGAACCAATCATTGGATGCCAAGGTGCCCCAGTTTGTGATTCCGACCCTTGTCTTAACCAGGGCACGTGTCAGGACCAGTTTAATGAGTTTAACTGCAGCTGCAGCCCAGGATGGGAGGGGAAGCTGTGTGAAACAGAGATAAATGAATGTTTYTCAGCTCCCTGTGTCTATGGAACATGTAAAGACCTCCTGGCAGAGTACCAGTGTGACTGCGAGCCTGGATACAAAGGGAAGAACTGTCAAGATGAGGTGGATAACTGCCTGCAGTTCAGCTGTATGAACGGGGGAAACTGTGTAAAAGCGGTGGACACTTACACATGTGCATGTCCTTCAGGCTACATCGGCAAGCGCTGTCAGTGAGTACACACCTTTATTCTATTACATTTTTATAATTTATTTGGTTGTAGGGGCAGAGCCAGAGCGGTGGTCAGGGTAGCACRTGTCACCCCTGGTATCTGATTGGCCACCTCCAAATCATGTCATGTGGGGTGGRGATCACATGAGTCAGTATAAGATAATTAGACTAAAAACATTAAATATCTGTCATGCAGCCGTATTATCTAATGWAGAGGGAAYCTATCAGTGTGTGAAGAAAAAAACAACTTTTCTAAATCACTGAGCTAATATAAAGCAACAATTCCACCAGACCAAATTTCATCTCAATATGTAAAAAGCATACCAGTAGCTGAATTGTTGCCCAGTGAATTTAGCTTTGGTGGCCGTCTTGGAGTTTKTTTKTTTTTTGTTTAGAATCTGGTAGACATCACTCTCAGCTACCACCACATTTAATTTCAGCTTAAAAGACAATCACGTTTCAGCACTATCTTTAAGTTGTAACAAACAAACATACAGAAATACCTACCTAAACCTAAACTGGTAATTACACTTACAGAGTATGTACCTGATAGTTACAGAGTACCTGGTTCTTACTGKGTACATTGCTAATTACCTGGTATGTACCAGGTACTCTTTGGTATTTACTATGTACATACTTGGTAATGACTTGATATATACCTGATACTTAAAATCTATTTACTATTTCTTGGGTATAAATACATGTCTAGWTATTTATCACCAGCAATATTGACCCTTTGCACGTGACTTGGTGACGCAAGTGCAAAGGGTCAATACATAGTTTGGTATGTAATAGATGTGATCTGGTCTGTACCGAGTTGTAATCTGTATTACTATGCTTTCTTTTAACAAGTGTCCCTTTACTAGGATATGATGTCTTGAAGTAGAATTGTTCAAAAGCATTTTTCCCTAACATGTAATATAATTATTAATATAAATCATTGATCTGTTCTGTTATTATTTCAAGGGCAAGCTACTTTTTCCTTTATTAAGCCTATATAGAGGACCCCATTTATGTTAATGAATTTTTTTAGTAGAGCCCCCCTAGTAATGTGTATTCTGGAGTGCTGTAAAAAAGTGGGTTGATGATCAAACCTAGAATTCAGGAAGAACAATGCAGGTTCCCTTTAAGTCTTAGGTCACTGGATTAGCTTTTTACTCTTGCTAATCTCCCTGAGGTGACAAGGGAGTTTGTTAAACCAGTYTACACTTTTTCAGGAACTTGGAGAAGACCATGTACCTGGGGCACACTGTGGGAAGTGTTCTGTGAGCATGGGATTTGGGTCTGCTACTATGAGCCATTAGTCCCCATGCAAAAAGTATGAGAGTCTGGTCGCATTGTGAAGTGAAACTTTTCAGGCTGAGAGCCAGAATCTGTCAGGGCTACCTGTCATCGCAGATTATTTCATAACTTTTATGAACAGAATTTGTTTGTGCAGCCAGGGGACAGAAAGGGTCTGGTTCCCTGGCCTCAAGATTATGTATATGCTACTTGCAGATGATGTGGTCTTGGTGTCATTATCATCCATTGACCTTCAGTTCTCAATTGAGTGGTGGGAAACATCTGGGAGAAAGATCACCACCTCCTAATCTGAAACTGTTCTTTCTCCTGAAGGTTGCCTTCTCCCGGTTGCAAAGGTGATAATTGAAGTAAGGTAGTTTAGGTGTTTTGTTCACAAGTGAGGGAAGATGGGGGTGTGACACACACAGAGTGCAGCTTTCACAGTATTGTTTAGTGGTCTGTTGGGGTGAAGAAGAAGCTGAGTTGCAAGGAAAGATATTACTGATATACAGTATCTACTTTTCTACCCTCACCCATGGTCACAAACTCTAGGTAGTGACAGAAAGAGCAAGATCTTTAATACAGTTTACATTTAGATTTCTTTGAAGGGTAACTGGGCTTAAAGACAAAAGAAAGCAATCGTTTATGGTGCAATCATAGTGTTGAAGGTTCACCTAGTTTGCTCTTTCTCTACCATACACACTACCTGTTTGATCAACCTTGGATTGAATTTCCTCTTGCATCCCTGTCCTGGAAGGTTGGCTACAGTCCCAGAAACCTTATATTTTTACATAATGTTGGCCATCAAGTTAGAGGATCATAAAGCTGCTTGGAGATAGCCTGTACCTTTTAACATGATGTATATAATCTTCTATCTGTGCTTCTCTGACAGCTCTCGCCGTTTTTTCTCTTCTCTATATTTAGTGTGATGCACATGATACCTAAATGCCCAAAGTCATGCTTGTACATAAATTATATGTATATTTGCTGATTGGCTGATAAAAAGCTTGAAGGCAGGGGCAATATTAATTAGATGGTTAGTGTGAAACATGACTACTGTATATTATTAGACTTTTTAAGAATACCAACACATCTATCCGTATTAATTCAAGACATTTTTGTAAATTAAACACAATAATTTTTGTCACATTTTTATATACTCAAGCTCATTTTCACCAAGGGCCACATGAGTATTATGGTGGCCCTCAAAGAGCCTGTTGTTATTAGCTTTGTTGTTTTGTGTGTAACTTTGACCAAACACGGAACATCAAAATAACTGACATTAGAGATCGACCGATACAAGTTTTTGAAGGCCGATACGATACCGATTTTTTAAACATCAGTCTAACCGATACACCGATACGTGCAGCCGATATTTTTTGGCCGATTCTTGAAGCAGATACTACTTTTTCTTCCTCCATTAACATGATAAAAATAAGAATGATAACAAATGTTACACAAGTCTTAATTTAAAACAAAACAAAAAAAAAACCCATTTATTAACTAAGCCTTGTCTGATGCAGGCTGTATTAAGTGCTACCACACAGGATATCTTCTTTAAAAAAATTAAAAATAAATACATTTATTATTTATTTTATCTAGTGCTAAATATTCTGTTTTTATTTGTACATTAATAAGAATAACACATTTTTACATAAAATTACTATTTTTTAATATCCCAGCATTTTTGATGCAAAAACAGCAACAAGCCTAAATAAAACTATCAGAGCAACACAGAGAAAAAGRAGAGACACACATACATCTTGCTATCTTTGTGAGGACTTCACACACACAGCACTCACAGCATCTCTGCCTCAGTCTGCTGCTCCCGTTTTTAACACCAGGCAAAAAATGCATTTAAAACAGCTGACGTTAACTTTAGATCACAGTTTGAAATGTACACTGAAGAAAACCAGCATCACGACTGCGGTCACAGTAAACGTGATGTGAGCAGTGTCTGGTTCACATGATGGTAGACGGCTGCACTCGCTAAAAYGTTCAGCGAGAAAAGACCGAAAGCTTTTTTATTTTAATCCAGCAGGGAGAACAATAGAGGTGTTTTTCTATGCCTCATGTGAGCAGCTCCAGCATTTTTAAAAAGCAAAACAACGCGGACACGCTGATTACAGTGCGGTGCGAAAGTGAAAGTAAAACATGTCGCAGCGCTCCCRTCTRGAAAAGAAACTTAAACACAGCTGTTCTTTCTCCCCTCATATTGCGACACAGAGGGTAGAAACAGCTAAATTAGACAGTTAAAACACATTTACAGTTCATAACTCACCCTTGTTGTTGTTAGCACTCTGTCTCACAACATTAGCTGCCGCTCTCTCCCCGGGGGAGGGGGCAGACACATGCGGTCAGTGTATCRGCCGATACCGATACAAGGAAAAAACGCAAATATCGGCCAAAAATATCGGCCGGCCGATGTATCGGTCGACCCCTAACTGACATGCCTTATGGGAGATGAAGTTTATGGTTAACGCTGACTTTAAATTAGAAATGTTTTCATGAGCATTAACCAAGAATCTGAGGTTTCTTTTGATCCCAAACATGTCCATGTTTAACTAACAGGTCTTCAGTTAAAAGAAGTTAAAAGAAATATAAAATGGGAAATGAAGGTTTCATATTTAAAGTATTTGCGGGCCACATAAAATGCCATGGTGGGCCACATATGGCCCGTGGACCTTGAGCTTGACACGTGCTCTAGCACATTGTGAAGGCATGCAGACATGCATTAGGCAGCTACTTTTAACTGAATCATGCTTCTTTTTTCATGAAAAGTGATTAAAACAATTTGAAGGAGGCAAATTTGTTTATGTCTATACTTTGTTGCTGTCAAAACATACCCCTTAATTCTTTGACAGTGTTTTTCTACAGAATACTTGGTAGTGCTAAATTATAAAAACTGTTCAAGATTACAGGAGCATAGCTTTGAGTTTAAAGAGTTAGCTTGGCCGCCAAATTCTCCTGATCCTAATCCAATAGAGCATCTGTGGAATGTATTTGACCATCTACGGATGCCCCACCTCACAACTTCTTGGATTTAAAGGATCTGCAGAATTACACTGGCTTGTTGCCAGATTACAGCATATTCAGAGGTGTAGTGGAGTCACTGCYCTGATGGGTCAAAGATGTTTCTTACAACAGGAACATGCTCATTTTTAAACAAACGTTACAATTAGAGATGAATTTGGCTTTTCTGAGCAAAGTAACAGAAATGAGGCCAAGCTTGCTTTAAAAAACAAACATTCATCTTTTTTGTTTTTATTTATTTTATCAATTTATGCGTTGATATTTAATCCAACAAACATGACTACAGTGTTTCAGAAACAGACTTTGAASCCATAAGCATCATTTGTTGTTGAATGATAAACACAGTAAACTGGATTAGCTCTGCTTTATTTTTTGTTTTGCACAATCATGAGTAAAGTAGAAGATGTTAATATTTTTATTGCACAACCATAATACAGTATTTTCTTTCTGCCATGAACACAACATAGTAGAGACAGAACAATACAGGACAGAACAAGGCAGTGAAACAGATTATAGATAACAGTAACTGTGTCAGGAGACAAGAAAAGTAACTAGTCATCTTACACACAACTTTGTATCTGTGTGCATAAGGGTGTGTGTAATCACACATTTTGCTTTTTTTAAACTGTCAAAGACAAAATCTGTAAGAATAATGGCTGAGAAAAATATTAATGAATGCTTTTAGATTTCATCTTTAGAGTCGTTCATTTGTTCTTTTAAATAATAATAAATCTGTAGAACTGCTTCTTTCCAAAAACTGTAATATGCTCAGACACACTTGTTGTGCTCACGGCACTACACAGCTCATACTGGACCTAAGGTATCTTCTGCTTTTGATACTGTTGATCCCASGATGTTAAACAACAGACTTAGAAATCATATTGGGTTTTCTGGAAAGTGAGTTTCATACATTAAACTCTTTATTAAATTGTTAAAGAGTGGTTAAGCGACACTTGCCTGCAACTGAACTCAAGAGACTGAAGACTAAACTCTGATAATTGTGCTGGAAGTTAAGATTCCTCCAATCAAACAGTTCCTTGGTGTTTTAGGTCCTTCTGTTCAGTCCACTGTCAGAAACTTTGGTGTCATTTTTCATTCTGTGATGTCTTTGAAACAACACGCAAAACAACTGATCTTAGGAACATCTCTAAATTGAAAGGTTTCTTGCCAAAAGCTGAACTTGAAATKATCATTAATGCTCTTATGTCCCCTTGTTTGGACTACTGCCACAGTTTATTCACATGTTTAAAGAAGAAGGAGCTGGAGTGTCTTCAGGCTGTCCAGAACTCAGCTGCAGATTGTTAACTCACATAAACAAACAAGCTCACAACACACCTGTTTTAGCTTCTCTACACTGGCTCCCAGTTCATTTAGAATCMTTTTAAAATTCTGGTTTTAACTTTTAGAGCCTGAACACACTCCCTCATATACAATTTGATCCAGCTCCACACACCAGTGCACAGTTTGAGGCAGGGCCAGATTATCTTTTCAGCTTTAACAAGTCAATGAAACAACATGATATGCCATCAATAAATAACAGATGACTATTTGCTCTTGTTTTATTAGTGGTTGTGATTCAACAGTCTCATTATGTGACTATTAAAAATTAAAGTTGTCTGACAAGCGTGATTTTATGCAGAAACTACTCTAAAAATACTAACCTCACAATACTTTTTAGGATGCAATCATTTTATACTTTGATAAAAATRCCAAACTTTTCTGATGTGATCATTTTATTCCTGCTGATAATAAGAGTACAATGTGATCACTGTGTGCACTTTAGCAGATGCTGTGACTACAGAAATAATTGGTCACTTTATGCATTTATGTGATAGCTGTGGCTATGGGCAGCTCTAGCAAAATGTTTAGGGGAGTTGTCCTGGAACTGGAAGGTCGCCGGTTCGATCCCCTGTACAGCCGCTTCAGTCATTGTGTCCTTGGGCAAGACACTTCACCTACCTTGCCTACTGATGTGAGGGTCCGGTGGCACCGCTGCCATGCACCGGCCCCACCTCTGTCAGTGTGCCCCAGTGCCATCATTGTTGTGTGAATGTGTGTATGAATGGGTGAATGTCTGAAGTGTAAAGTGCCTTGGGGTCCAAGTGGACTTCACAAGACGTATATAAATTCAAGCCATTTACCATTTACCATAGCTAACACTAACCTAAACTGTCCTGTGGAGATTTTAACTTACTTTCTGTTCTTTGTAAAGAACACCCTAATGTCCACTGTGTCTGTGGAGGAATCAGATATTGAAAACAACTTATCATCACTCACGATGTGTTCCAGCACCAGCTGTGTTTTACTGCCTGCACGGCTGCAGTGTGTGACTTGATTTATGTGACCAGGAAAACCTGGGCTGGACTTTTAGTGCTTTGAGTTTTCTCCTATCAATCAAGAGGAAATGGATTATTTTGTCAAGCAATAGAAACAGTGCTGTTTTCCCCCCCTCCTGCTCAAGTGGGCCTCGCAGTGGTTCTCAAACTTTTTGGATCTGGGGACCCCTTACAAGTGGGAAAAATTTCCAAGGACCCCCTCATAAACCCCATGCTAAATAACTTAACCCATAAATGCCACAAGAATATTATTTTTTTCTTTAGTTTAGCATGTGTRTGCATGTTTTAAAATAAAAACCCAATTAACAATATAATTAATTATTTTGAGAACCCCCAGCTTGCAAACCCCTGGGGGTCCTGAGACCCCCAGAACCTCTGCTCTTGTGGACCTGGGCCCGTGGGCCAGTGCCCAAAATTTCGATATGATAATCCGGCCTTGGTTTGAGGTCATGAGGTCAGAGGTGTTTGGTGGTACCCTGCACCCATCAACTGCCCCGGTCTATAAACAGCCTTGACTCTATTGATGCTTTTAAAAATATATCTGAAGACTTTCTTTAACAAATAGGCCTTTAGCTAAGTTGTTGGAGTTTTTGTGTATTCTACTTTGTTCTTACTTGTACTTTTTACTTGTAAATTTTTCTTGCTTTTATTGTAAAGCACTTTGTGATTTTTTATCTAGGAAAGGTGCTGTATAAAACAACTTACTTACTTTTCAAATGTAAGCTTACAAAATCATTAAGTGTAATTCTTAAATGTAGTATGTTCTGGTGCATATCACAGTGTTTATTACTGAGCCAGCATTCACACTATTATTTTCATGTTTATAGTTCCAGTGTAAGTTATTTGCAGTTGAACTACTTATACATAGTTTTAGTATTTCTAACTTTTTTAAAACTCTTTGAATCATTGATTTTTATTAACAAAGATTTATTCATAGAAATGAATTGCAATCTATTTCCAACAAAGCATTGTTGTTTTCCTTGCTTCCTTGCTCCTCTTTTATCTTCCTGCTTCTTTAATGTTTACACTTTTGCTTGATTAAGCTTTTAGTTACTGTTTTGTTTATTTTCGTTTGAAGCAACTGCTTTCCTATTTGTAACTTTTAGATATAGTTTTGCTTAATTAAATTTTGACTAGTGTTGACAAATTAAGGTTTTAGCTATAGTCTTGCTGATCTTAGCTTTTGTTCAGCTTTTATTACCATTAATATTTAAGTTAAATCATTTTTCAGCAAATGACAACATAATCATTCAACGCTCAGTTTAGTTTCTTTAATATTCACAATAACAATTTAACAACAATTTAATATTTAAATTTCTAAAGCACAGATGAAGTTATTGAATCTTATTTGGTAAATTGTAATAAGGATTTATTTTTTCCTCAATAGGTGGCGCTTCCCCCCGGCAGCGTGTGATTCAGACAGGAAGTGTCTGAATCGAGGGGTTTGTATTGGAGATGAATCTGGAGGCAACTGCACCTGTAAGCCTGGATACACAGGTGTCAGGTGAGAGCAGCGCCTCTCCTTACAGGCAGACGTGYGTCTGAAGCACAGCCAGGACAGGAACATGTGTGTGTGCTGCTGCTCTGTCATTCAGTGTTTTGTTAAAACCCTGTGATGTGTTTCAGGTGCGAGACGGAAATAGACGAGTGTGAATCCTGTCCCTGTCAAAATGGTGCAACCTGTCTGGACCGACTTAACCACTTTCAGTGTGTGTGTGTCCTCGGCTTTAGTGGCAAACTGTGTGAGAGAAGTGTAAGTGGCCCAGACAGCACACACACTGTCACTTTCACTGCACACGTGAAGCCGGCTGTTCAATGAGATCGACTTTGATTCAAGCTTCTTACTGCTGTTCAGAATACACAGTACAGAGTACAGAGTACACAGTACAGAGTACAGAGTACAGAATGTTGTAATTCTTAATACAGATACAGCAAATCATCACTGACATTCACCTGATTCTCTGATCACATCTGTTTGGTAAAAATGTTTTATTCTGAACAAAACTAACCTCTATTTCACACTAGATGTGGTTTGGCTCAGCTGCTCAGTCCGCACTTCCTGCAGTTTGCTGTTAGTTTGCACCCCAATTTATACAGCGTCCGCTCCACTCAGGTCCGCTCCTGTGCGAAACACACAGGAGGTCTGAGAAGCGTGTGCAGGAAATGCAAGTTTGTGTGATAAATCCAGTAATAAATGTGGAAGTCAGAGAAAAATAAGTTATTGTGGAAGACAGACTCCAAACACAGCTGAAGCTAGCCTGGCCCTTGCCTTCCTACTCAGTTCAGCTCAATTCTAGTTTACCTTCACTGCTCCRTCTGGGAYTTCTCCCACAGACAAGGATTTCTTCGGGAGCATTACATTCAGGCCAATCAGAGAACAGAAGGTGGAGTTTTGAAAGACAACACTGATTTTCTGCACAGTGTCTGCTAGTTAGTTTATCAATGACAGTGGAGGAAGTGAATGAAGCCAGTCTGTGTTGATAAGGCTTCCAAATTAAAATAAATTTGTCTGACAAAGCAGCAGCTCTCATTTAGTCATCTCGTTCAGCTCGGTACTCCTCTCCTCTCAGTAGGGGATACAGCTCATGCAGTTTCTGGTTAGCTTTCTAGCTTAGCTTCCTTCACAGTGGAGCTGGCACACAAATGTCCAGCCAACAGATCCAAACATTTTAAACTTGAGCAGAGGCCACGCCTCCATCAAGAATTGCTTCTCTATAGCCGAGAGTCCAGACCCTCGTATGAAGCAAAGTGAAGAACAAGAGGCTGGTTTTTACCAGGCTAAGTTGAARCTGCATCACTGTTGTGTTTTTGAAACTTMTGATTTCAAAAACCCATGTGTATCATGTGTGTACACATATGCTTCATGCTACATGTTGCCATCTGCTTCCCAAACAGAAAAATACATTCTGACAGCATTTGTGTAAATATATATCCATATACTGTAGTTATTTATATAGCTGGGATTTTGACAAAATTAATCTGCTTTTGGTGAATTATTTTGAAAATAAGAATATTGTGCTTGTTCCTTTTCCTGTTGGTGTGATGTGCAGCTCCTGCATCCGGCAAAAATAGGATCACATCAAATTTTGTCAGATCGCCGTCCGCTCACCTCCACCCTGCGGAGCCAGTGTAAATCCTCTCATTGATTATAATGGGTGTGTATTTGCTGCAGAGGTTGGACCACAGCACAGCGGAGTGGAGACGCATCTAGTGTAAATTAGGGGTTATAGTTCGTGAATGCTGAGGCAGCATTGATTCATGCTTTGCAGCTCCTTCTGTCAGCCTTTCAGACTGCAGCTACTTCAGACATTTCAGCCACTCAGGAATTAAAATATTAAACTCCTTCAGGACATTTTGACGATGACTTTTTGCTTTTCTAACATTTATACTTTTCACATATTTAGTTTTATTTACAACTTTTCTTTGTCATTAAAATGCATTAAGATATTAGAGTTTTTTAAAACTCTTTATTGAGACCGACTTCAGCTTATTTGTGTTTCATTTTTACCTTCCTGTGTCCTTGTTTCCTGTGGCCTCCTTATGAGTCCTGTCTGTCTCCCTCTGCATCACTTTCATCTCCTCAGATGTCCCGTCCAGTCATGTATGTTTCTGTTTGTATCTTTGGTCTTTTTATGTTTTTTCTTTGTTTACTTTATGTCTCCTTTTTTGTCTTTTGTGTCCTTTTTGGGCATTTTACATTTCCTTATGCTTTTTCACAGTGGTGGGCAGCGCTAATCCAAAACTTAGCTCTGCAAATTCTAAAGCGCTTTTGAAAATATTTAGGTCCCCAACTTCGAAAATGCTTATGTCATAGATAAATTAGCAGAACCTAATTTTAAAGCACAAGTTCAATTTGACATTTACTAGCTGACAATTCATGTACAGTATGCACMATACTGCCAGCTAGCAGTGTAYAAACCCTTGTACAGTTTAATCCTACTACCGCCGATTGCTGGGGAACTGATTTCCTGAACCAGAACTTTAGCTCATGGTGTACAAATTAAAACGTTGTTGAGGCTTGCTAGTTTGGCTGCTTCTTTAAAAAGTTGATGAGGATTGTTAGTTTGGCTGCTTGTCTCTTTCTTTTGTTTGTTGTAGATTTTTCATTAAATAAGCATCAATAAAGTAATTTTAAAACAGTTTATTGGAAAACTGAAGCAATGCATTCTGGGTACATGACGGACTAACGGGAAACGAAAGCACGGGGAACAGGAAACTAGTATCTTCCCTTCAAAATAAGAGCTTGGATTTTAAAGTTTTTCATGTTTCCATTGAATTTTAAAGTTTTCCAGTTCACCTGAAACTCATCAGACTGAAGAAGTCTCTTGGAGGAGAGACGAAACGTTTCACTAAAGAAGAACCCATCCAGAGGACCTACCGTATTTTTCGGACTATAAGCTGCAAATTTTTCCTGAACTTTGAACCATGTGGCTTATACATGGATTTTTTTTCTTCAGCAACCAGGGGGCTCTTATGTTGCGTTTGCTTCAAACACTCGCTTCAAAAAAAGAAAGGAAAAAAAGAAAGAAAAAAGCGATCGCTTCCAGAGCCGACTGTTGTACCAGGAAGCAGHGATTTAAAGATAGTCAATGGCCAAAAACTCAAAAGGGGATAAAACAGACATTTTTCATGGTGGAATCTGACTGATAAAAACTTTGGAGCTTAATCCAGGACCAGTTTGTGGATTAACGTTGCATGAAGAGCCGCTGACTTTTTTTTTTTTCCCGCATTGCACTCCCCGGGAAGGAATCCCATGCAGTGACGTATGCTGGAGCTGGAGGGCTTTCCCAGCAGCTGGGCTCTGGGTTTCTTGGGGGAACTATGAAAGGTCAGTGCGAAAACAAACGCCGAACAACCACGTAACAGCTCGTCGACCGGTCGACAGCCGAGCGACCATACTGCCAGCTTAGCCGAAGGTGTAGCGCCATTTTGTTTTAGCTAGTAGCAGACACGACACGATGGATCTTYGACAGACACGATATCGGACAGTATGTGGGCCCACATCACGGATTCGGTGAAAGCAGCCATCAAGAAAATAAACTCAATTCCTGCTGTTATTCCTGGAGATACAACAAAGTTTTTGCAACCCCTGGACAACAGTGTGAATCTGCATTTAAAGCAGCACTCRGCTGAATGGGAGGCTTGGATGACTGACAGGAATAAATCATTCACAAAAACTGGCCGAATGCGAAGAGAGTCATTTCTTGATGTCTGCCAGTGGATCCTAACAGTGTGAAGCAGAGTGGATGAGTCCACCATCACCACTGGGTTCTGAAAGGCTGGACTGCTACGTGAAGAGGACACCACAGCTTCAGAGCCAGCATTAGCCCGGGAGGACAGCGACACAGAAAGCAACACTGAACAGATACCGCTGTGTGACGCAGCTTTTCTGAGCTTGTTTAACTCCGACACTGAAGAGGAGGACTTCGATGGTTTCAGTGCGCCGGAGGAAGATGAATGAGAGGTTTTGTTGGACCAGAAACTGTTAAAGAAAACTACCAAAATAAGGTCAGTTAAATGAACCGTATTCCTCCGAACTTTAATTCCTAAAGGTTTGCTTTTTATGTTTTGATGTTGAATTCACTTTTTTGATGACAATTTTTGGGGTACTGCTTTTTTATGTTGGGAGTGCGGCTTATATGCTAATGTTCACGGGTTTTTTTTTTTAAATGGCGGGGGCAGCTTATAGTCCGGTGCGGCTTATATGCTAATGTTCACGGGTTTTTTTTTAAAATGGCGGGTGCGGCTTATAGTCCAGTGCGGCTTTTAGTCCGAAAAATACGGTACTTATTTTTTCTTTTTGATTTTTTTCTACCTGGATTAGGACGTTTTCCATGTAGTTGCTCCAGTTGATCACTAGATGTCAGTCTTCACCAGCATAACATCTTTAAAACATTTATGAGTCTCTAACACCGTTGGCTGATTGCTTTTGGGCTCCAGTGTTTAAACTTTATTATTTTTTTAAAAAGGACCTCCGATTGTAAAGTAAAATAAATCAATACATACAAAATTTTAGTATGGATTACAAATGTTTACCGTTTTTGCTTTTGCCTTCCTGCTACGTAAGCAGACACAAAGCATTGTGGGAAATCAGAACTGTGGCCGAAAGCAACAGTACACAAGGATGTATACCTTCACAATAAGTGTGTTTATGTGGGAAGGGTGCTGTTGGACAGATCACGTGTGATGTGATTCATTGACAGCCTTACCTTCCGCTGTTCAAGATAATGATGACTGGTAGATAATTAGTTATTATTATACTGYGGTACTGCATTTTAATATTTGAAAGCGCAAATCCACTTATGCATTATAAAAATTAGTAAGACCGGTAAAGCGCAAATGAAATACTGTATTTAGGTCCGCAATTAGCGGATTTGCGCTTTAGCGGTCTGGTGCCCACCACTGCTTTTTCATATTTTTATAATGCCTCATGCTTTTTTCCATTTTACTCCTTTTCCTGTCTGTCCTGCACCTTGTGTCTTTTCTCTTATTTAAATATTTCAACTAATATTTAAAGTCAACTAGTATTCAACTCATTTCCCCATTTATTAGTAACTATCAGCAAAGTCACTGAGCACTCAGCATCCACACTGCATTTTCACAAGAATTTTTTTTCTAGATACTCTAATTCAGTCTTTAGAGCAGGACTCTGTAACCTGCTTTAGCTGTGTTAATGTTAGCAGCTTTGAGTCTTCCTCAGTAAATCCCAACAACCTTTGCACTACTAGATTTAGACAGTTTATCCCAATCTTAGAAGATCCTCTCAGGATCAGTCAGGATGAATAAAGCTTTTATGAAGTTGTCTCTTATCCATCATACGTCCATCCGGAGCTTTAAGGTTTTTATCTCCTGCTGCTAAAAAGGAAAGACATCATGTGTATTTATCTCTGTTATTTAGCAACATTTTTCATGAACCGCTGGACTGATTTTAATGAAAGATATAAAAATGAATTATTAAACAAGTGACTGACTTTTTGAATCAATCCCATTCAAGATGGCATAACTAAAAGACTTTAGTTGACACAAAAAAGGCAAGAACTTAATCAGTTTTACAAGATTTCTTTGTTTCAGTATTTTAATTCTGCTTTAGTCTATTTTTATTTACAAATCAACCATGTTTTTTTTTAATTAAATGGACATTTCTGTAGTGCTAGAATTTCTGGTCAAGTATTCATGTGGATTCTGCTCCTCCTCCCTGCGCCTCCTTTCTACCTGCTCTTGCAGTGACATGGTTAGTTTTTCATCAGAGTGTTGCAGGAGGCTTACCATACGGTGAACAGTGTTGCATCATAAATGTCCTGCAGTTCAGAAAATCTGGTGACAAATGGAACAACTGTCTTATTAAAAGTGATGCTGGGTAAAAACTATCTGAAGTCCATGTGATAGAACTGGTTTGAATCTTTCAAATGTGAATGACAGGTCTAACACTAACACTTCTTGGAGGAATACATATAAAATACATAAAATAAATAAAAAAACTGGCAAGCTAACCAGGTTTTTTCGATTTTATATCAACCATAAAGTATTTTTGATCTTGTTTTGAGACATCTTACCAAGTGCAGATGTCTTCATGCACTGGCGATTATTTCACTTAATATAAGAAGACTCAGAGTGATTTAAGTAGTTTTTAAACTTATTTTTAGTTGGCTAATTTTTGCAGTGTAACACTTTTAGATATATRCTGAAGATGAGGTACTACCATTCCAAGTTTTAGCTCAATATCTGTAACACTGACTAAAGTATGTTAAGAGTGATGAGTCATACGACCATCTTTAATTGACTTTAAAAGTTAACGAGCTGCAAACAACCAGTGATGTTTTTTCTGAAAGTGTCACTCAGTTCTGTACAGGGCTTTATGAGATTATTTCCTAGCAGACAAACAGGGTTCACAAGACAAATAAGACAATGCACTTGGTAAGATTCTTGAAATAAGGAAAATCTGAGTCAAATTAAAGGGGCAATATTATGTGTTTCTCAGGCATATATTTAAATTCTATACCATAATAAAGTAACAATGTCACCTTCAGTTGTTATTAAAATGCTGTTTAAATAGAAAATAAACTTCTCATCATATTTGTTTCTAAACACCTTGAAATTAGCCTCTGTCTCTTTAAGAACCTCCTTCCACTTCTGTCCCGCCCATTTCAGCACGGGCAGGTGTGTGTGCTCTGTGATGAGGAAGCTCTGCTTGGAGACACAGTCCAGAGGAGGAGATGATCCCAAAAAGCAGTTTTAGGCCCAACCAGTGGTTTTTGCTCCCCTGCCTGGCTGCCTCAGGACACTACAGGATTTCTCAAACATGCATGAATGAGTCAAAGTAAGACTCTGAACATGGTTTTGATGAGAGTATAACATTATAACATGATATAAAACTCAAAAAAGTTCATTTTACATGATATAGCCCCTTTAAGTGATTTCAAGAATCTTGCCTCTTGTAATAGTCTTTCTCCATCGGTAGATTTTTTTCTCTTAATTTGAGTCAAATTTCCAGGCTAACAAGTTTATTAATCGTCCAAATTCTGCTTTTGTTTAGGAAATCAGTCTCAAAACAAAATCAGATTGTAAGACCTGGTTAGATGGACAGTTTTTGCAGCATAATCACATTTTCAAGAGTGGAAAAAAAAAGGTCATTTAAAAAGTGTTTAACTTGGAAATTCATGTCGTTCTTGCAGAAAGATAACCATAAGGAGCAGGTCCCCTGGCTGGCAGTGACCATCCCCCTCATCACCTTATGTGTTTTATTAGCCATCCTGACGATGTTTTTCCTCGCCATGACGGCACGCAAGAAGCGCCAGTCGGAGGGCACGTACAGCCCCAGCTCTCAGGAGGTTGCTGGTGCCAGGTTGGAAATGGGCAGTGTCCTGAAAGTGCCTCCAGAGGAGAGGCTGATTTGAGGCAGGGAAGCCTCAGCTCACTCCTACATCCAAAGGATGCATATTATGGACCGAGAGAACATTTGTTCTGAAGGATCGTACTGCTCTGAGTGAGGAAAGATGGAGGGCAAGCCCATGACAGGCCCTCTGTCTGGAACAACTACTGATGCTGGACTCTCACAGTTCCACAAAGACTAGAAACAGTTTTACACTGATTCTTAGGAAGAGGGGAGAGTGTCAGAACTGACCCCAACAGGGCTCTGAAACTCTGGATCTTAAGGACTGAGGCCCGACCACATGGGAACATTTTTATTTTTTTACCTTTTCAGCCTTGCATCTACATGGAAACTGTTTTTGAAGCCACTAGAATTCTACCAAACCAGGTTCCAGAGTGAACAAAAGTTAAGTTGCTACTCTTACATGTTTGTTTTGACAGCCTAAACACAACCTTTTGAAGGTGTAGTAGACCCCCTAACCCACCCTATGACCTCAAGCGACAGACCCATAGACACACACATGTTTGTGTATGTGCTGCCAGTAAAACCTTCATTTACTGTATTACTTCAATGAACACAAATCACGTAATGTATCTCACTGAATCATCTAAAGCCAAAAATGTTTTTATCAATTTCTTAAACTGTCAACACAAACAAGCAAAGGCTGCAGGAATGTATACAATAAATATTGAATATTTAGAAGCATAGGAAACTAGAGGAGCTTTAAAAGATTCATACCTGTGTATAAAAATAACCTGATTAACTTTGAACATTGTGAGGAAATGTCTGACTGTCTCTGGATTCTGGGTCTGAAATGTGTCCAATAAGTCCCTGGGTTTGGACTGATTGCTGGTCCTAGGCTGATCACCAGTGTCAACATGTTAAATCATTACAGTGTTGAAGCCATTGACTCTTCCATCRCACAGTACCTGTTGTTAAAATAAAACACGTTGGAGACGAAGAGTTTTTTAGGAGGTTCCTCTAAACTGTTGTTCTCAGTAAAATTATTTTTAGGTTAGTTGTACATTTTTTCCTGGAGGATGACACAGCCACGTCTATTTAAGAGGAAATGCTGTTTTGCAACAAATGTTTGCATCAAGCTTACAAATCTTTGCGTGCAACATGAGTTAGCGTGTTAATGTGTTCTACCTGCTAACATGCTAACTTTTGTTAATAAAAATAACACAGTAGGTTGACTGATTTTTGAGCTGAAATTATAAATTTAAATTTTACATTTATTTWCAAAGCTTCTGTTTAAAATGTTTTTTCAGAAGTTCTGATCACACATCAGGAACATGTCGACACTTTTACAGAGTGACTGTCCCCAGATCAGTCTCTTTATTTACGTCTGTACATCAAAATTAAACTATCATAAATCATTTTATAGTAAAGTACCATTATACAAATAAAATAATCTTTGAGGTAATATGTATTCATACAGCTGTATTCATAGTCCAATTTGTTATAAAAAAAGCAATGAAAGCCTGTTTTACACTTTTTATTTTAAATCCCAAAACTGTGAAAACCTGGTGTTCTGCTCAAAGCCAGAGTCTCATACCAGCCCGTGTTTTATCAACATTATCATCCTGTAGTTTGAAATATCCTCTTTTCAATTATCCTGTAGTTTAACAAAGTAGAAGTTTGACGTTGATGTGAGTCCAGAAAAAAAGATATTTATTTTTTTGTTTTCTTGTCTTTCTTTTCTTCCTGTCTTTCCAGTCTGAACAAAGTTAAATATAAAATGTTCTGTTTCTGTTGTATTGTGGAGACAGTGTTACAGCGCCACATTAAGGCATAGTTACTACAGCCATTTGGGTCATTTTCTGTTTCCTTTAAGACGTAGGAAATGTGCTGAGTTCACTGGGATAGTTTTAACAGTGACAAAATAAAAAGATTGTTTTGGGAGGAAAGAATCTCACATGGACAAGGAATCAATCTCTAAAGCTGTTTGACATCCACCATCTGTTGGTTTTGGGGCCTGTAATCCATCACTTAAGGCCCAGAAAAGGAGAACCTTTGTGTGCAAATTCTAACACTGACTCTGGTTTTACATGATGAAACAGGGAAACATTTCTCCATCTGTCTTACTTCAGGGAGGAGTTATACCTGCAGGAACACACAAGGTCTCTGATTAACAGTGACATTTTTATAACTGTTCTCAGAGGCAGACTCCTTTTTCTCAATCTTCAACTCTTTAACAGATTTGTCTGCCTGAACAATTCATCTGTTTTGAGCAGAACATGTGGGGGGTGGACTTTTGGAAACTGCTTGAAGCTCTGAGGATGAAATTCATAAGAGAGATTCTCTGGATAACGTGTAAATGGGCATAAAATATTTTTTTATTGAGGGTAGGGGGACGGGGTTCTTGGATGTAAATGATCCAGACAGTTCTGGTCTCTCTCATAGGAGTCATAAAACTAACTGCTGTATTTTACCATCACTGTGCATTGTGTGACGATTCACACAACCCATTTTTCTTACTGTTTAATAGTGTTTTTGTTCATATTTTTGTGACATTTTGTGTGTATATGTGCTGAAGAAGTCCAAACCACTCTATTATTATTTTTTATATATATTTCCAAGATGTTTTCAGTATTTAATTGTAGAAATGTGGTTGTGGTCATTTTGTCAAGAAAAAAATCAGAAAAATTGTGGTCTAGAGTTTGTGAAGAATGTTTAGTTCAGATGCAATAAAGTAGAAATAAAAAAAAACGCAAACTAAAGTTGTGCACTTTTTTTCCACGAGTTAAAAATCAAGAGTTATTTCTTTGTAYGTGGACGTTACTGGAGCCAGAAAAGGAACCGCTTATGTCAGAATAACTTGATCAAGTGGAAATTTAAGACATGGGGAAACATGCAGCAAACATTTGCAGTGGATCAGAACTCTAAAGACACTGCAGTGATGCACAGCATTTACTTTTTAGTACTTATGAGTTGTCAATATCTTACCTGTCAAAGCAAGTCTTAACAATCCAGTGTGGACAATCAGGGGTTTATTTAATTTTTTATATGGGAATAAAACCAACAACTACTCAAATTTAAGAGGTGGGATTTCTTAGACAATTACAACTGAAGTGATTTTAACACACAAAATGTCAAAGATGCTAYATACACACAAAAGCCAGGAAACAAACATGGGAATTTTGATATTGAACTTAAAGTTAGCAGAAGCTAAATGTTTTCTAAAGTTAGTGAAAATGCTAATTCTACTAAACAAAAAGTTAGCTTTGCTATTAGCATCCCATGCTGCCACTTTCTTGCTGCTCTAACTCTGTCCTACTGTCCTTCTAAAGTTACTGTATGTATCAACAGTGAAAGCAGTGAATGTTTAATATGGTGAAATTAAGGAAATTATACTGGAAGAAAGAATGGGTTGCAACACATTTTCCTCAGAAGTTTAGAGTTGTCGGTTTATTGCTGACATTACACATATGAGGAKTCTCCTAACAGCCCACCTGCTGAATCAAACAGGAGGACAGGATAGGGAGGACAGTTAGATGGATTTCTTTCTCTTTTCAGCCAACCCATTCTCACTCCCAACTCAACATATTGACACTTGGTCAGGTAGCCATCTGTGTCCAGTTTTGGATGCGTCAGGTACCCCCCCACCCCTCGCGTCATTTCTTAACGAGATGAGGAGGAGTGCGTTGCCATGTTTTTGAAAAGAGTAGGAAATGTGTGAAAACTAACCGTCCCAGAGCCTAAATTTAACTTCTATTAGCCATATACARCCTATCCCTGACTTCAGTACCTAAAGTTAACCATTAATTCTGATCCCTCATTAATCATGGACCCCCAACCCAAAGACCACTATGTGGCGCAACCCTGAAAAGCCGTGTTCGGCAATGACTGATGCGGGGGGGTACCCAAGGGGGGTACCCAACGCATCAAAATCGGAAGCAGGCGGTACCTGACCAAGTGTCAATATGTTGATGAGTCGGGAGTGAGAACGTGTTGTTTCAGCCACTTTTAGTTTCTCAAGTTTAGGAGTCCCCTCAGCTTAAGGCGAACTCAAAAAAATCCTTTATTCCAAATTCCATTAGCATTCTCAATTCACAACTACCAGAAGACAAGATTAAATTAGCTGCTTTTATTTAATTCATATATTTTAAAGTGTAAACATTTTACTCCTGTTGTGTTTTTGTATCATTTTCATCTTGTKTGCTATGGAGCCAAAGATCACTTTCTATTCTATTTCTGTGAATGCTGACAGGGTGATGTTCCTCACTAGCACATCCTGAACACAAATAGGAGACAATGACTTTGGTTGACTTGTTTTAACGTGTCTCTTACTGTCTGAAAGTTTCACACAGAGCTGTAAAATCCTGCCTGTGAGTGCTTGATGCGTGCTTGATGCCTCGGATGCAGACTGCTCGTACAGCTGGTTGCACCATCTGCAGCTGCATCATGCTGTAATGACATGGCATGACCCAGAGATGGTTCTGTAACAACTGGTGTTTTTACTAATATGTTGTATTAACTTGTTTGGTTTGTAGTCTTGTGTTTACAAATGTGCTCTCTGTATTTTGGTCTGATGTTTCTGTATTACCTTTTTATTTATTAATTACTTAATTAACTAATTAAATAATTAATTAATGAAATAATTAATTAATTGATTAAATTTACAGTATTTATTTATTTATTTATTTATTTATTTATTTATTTATTTATTTATTTATCATTGTTTAACCAGGCTAAACCCATTGAGATCGCTGATCTCTGTTGCAAGGGAGGCCTTTGAGGTGTGGGGGAAACCAGAGTACCCAGAGAAAACCCATGCAAGCATGAGGAAAACATGCAAACTCTGCACATAAAGACCTTAGGTCCAAACTGTGGCTCAAACCCAGGACCCTCTTGTTGTGAGGCTTCAGTACTAACCACTGATTCGTCGTGCTGCCAAACATTTAGCACCTGCTAAAGCTTCTTTTCCTGAACTAAAAGATTATTGTATTTCTTTTGTGTGGGGGAGCATGGGCTCTGTTAAAGCTGGAAACTTGGAATCAGTGGTGGACAGAGAGGTGTGGCTTGGACACCTGGCATTGATGATTTATTTGCCCCACTGGTGGGCCCTTAAGAAGGGGCACCCAAAAAATCAGTACTATTCTTACCCATGCTGGGTTTTTCTAGCGGCAGAACTGGTTGGAAGATGCTTATTTGTTGCTATTTATTTATTTATTTATTTATTATATCCTACAGGCTCTGACATCTGAAACTGAGGTTTTGAAAAAAATCATTAAAACTTGAAAAAAAAAGTGAGATTGCTCTGTACGTCCATATGCCTGCAGAATGATGGAAAATCCATGTAAATTACGGACAATCCGTACAACTTGACATGTATGAAACTTCATATGAGTTCACTCGCTGTGACAAACCCTGAAGCAGGGAGCGGCCTGAAAAAAATCCTGTCATCCTTGTATCCCATAAAGCTGTGCAGAAGGTCATTTATGAGGTTTGACCAAAACATTCAGTCCCTTCTCAGCATGAAAAGATTTCAGTTTAAAACTCTGTGAGCAAAAACCATTTTTATAGAATGCTAAATCTTTAATGCATTTCAATGAAAACGTCTTCTTCTCGAACCCTAGGGATCTTGAGATGTTCAATAAAACATGATGTACAAAAAGATATCATCATCATCAGCAGTTAAACAAAAAGAAAAAAGAAAACAAACAAATAGGAAAACACAGTGAAACCAGGCCTGATCACACAAATCCTCTAAGATAATCTTTAAAAAAATATCCATACCTGCTGCCTGTCATGCAAGATTCTTGATTTGGGGTGGGTTAGGGGAGTCATCCTCAAACCAGTAGGTTGCTGATTTGATCCCCCGTCCAGCTGTCTCAGTTGTTGTGTCCTTGGGTAAGACCCTTCACCCCAATGCATCTAATGTGTGTCCCATCAGTGTATGAATGTGATTTAAAGTGCTGATTGTCTCCATAGATGATTGTACATGTTAGCTTTGTAGAGATATAATAGAGTGCTGTGTGAATGGGTAAATGAGGACACAGATTGTAGTGTGAAGCGCTTTGAGTGTTCTAGTTGGATAGAAAAGGGTTATACACGTACAGTCCATTTACCATTTGATTGATTGTTTGATTGATTGATTGATTAATTGATTGATTGATTGATTGATTGATTGGACTATGGTTATGTTTATGGTTGGTGGGGATGGATGTAAAATCCATATGAATGGAGGCCTCCTAAGTGGGCCGATTGCTTTCCCCAAAAAGACACTGGTCTTTATTCAAAACTTCTCATCCCTCAGATGAAGGACACCAAGTTAGAAACACTCAGTGTTCTGAGCTTCTCAGGGTCCATAAAGGGGTCCCCAAGAATCATTTTCCTTTGACCACTCAGAGCCAGACAATGGCCTAAGTAGTGCAAAGAGGTCTCTAATTCAATGCCACAGGCATCACACAGACCATTGTCATGGAGTCCCATCACCCTTTTGTGGTGGTTGAGCAGATTGTGCCAAGTTAGGACTCCAACCAGTGTACTTACAGTTTTCCTTGTTAGGGCAATGGGAACTTTCCCAAACCTAAGATTTGGGCCGTCAGTTCCCGTGCCTGTCTACAGTCCATCAGCTCCCTCCAGCGGGACAGTCCTACAGACTGTTGTTCAGGTAACAACAGGCTCTGGGGTCGGATTTATAAAACTGAGGTAGGCACAATTTGAGCCCAGAAACTTGCGTACGCCACTTTTTACGCCAAGGTTGTGATTTATAAATTCCAAACTTGAAAATGTGCGGTCCCTCACGCCAGCTCTGACCCATGCGTACGCTCATTTTGGAGACAGGAAACTGC